GAGAGAACCCAGGAGTCCTGGCTCCCAGCCCCCCTGCTCTAACCCACCAGACCCCACTTCCCTCCCAGAGCTGGGGATAGAGCCCAGCTCCACCTTGCAATGTCCTTGCCCACTTTCTCATTGGGGCAGGTGACGAAGGCAGCTGACAGGCTCCCTGGGGTATAGGCTTCAGCCGCCATGGAGAAGAGACGCTGATACACGGTTCGGAGCAGTGGGACCATCAACAGGGACAGCAACAGCACCTGTGGCCAAGAGACAGTGAGAGTAAGGGCCAGACCTGGGGGACTGCAGGGACTGGGGTGGGGGTCTCGCTGGGGGCACCCTCCCCTCGCAGTCAGTGCTGGCCCCAGGTTAGCACTAGGAGAGGTGTGCTACTGCGTCGCCAGTGTAAACAGCCGCTGAACCCCCCCAGAGGCGGCTGCATCTCAGTGCTGGGCGAGGCATAGCCCCACAGGTGGTCGGCAGTAGTCAGGCTTTTACTCACGCAGCAGGCAGCTTTCATCGGCGCGTGTCGCTGCCACCGTCCCTGCGGGACTCAGCTCAAGGGACTGGGACCAGCCCTGCAAGGGCAAACAGCCAACTAAGCCGGCTCCCCTGCCCCGCTCCCCTAGGGCCAGGCCTGCCTGCGAGGGCAGAGCAGCCCCCGCAAGGCCTGGGGCAGCAGCAGGGCCTTAGCAACAAAGAACGTGGCCCCTTCCGAACATATGTCCGGGCGGGGCCCCTTACAATGCAGAAACTGGAATGCGGTATTTATTTTGCCACTTTTAGGGGCCCACTTCCTTGCGGGGCCCCCTCCGGTCGGAGGGTACAGAGGGCGCTCGCTACGCCTCTGGGCAGCGGGGCACTGCGCTGGCGCGAACACACACTGCAACTCCTACCTGCCCGCGGCTCTGCTGCTGCAATCTGCGCTGGACCCGCCCCTCCCCCTTCACGTGACCCAGGACAGCCGCATGCTGCTGCCTCAACCCCGCCCCCCTCACCATGTGCCTCCCCTCTCCTATATCATCAGGGAGGACCTGTCTCCGGATGGGGTCCCTTAATCTCAACTGCATCCCCCTGCTCTCCCAGCCCTGGGTTCCCCCCCCCATAGCTCTCCCGGTGCCCCTCAATCCTGACTGCAGCCCACTGCTCTCCCAGTCCTGGGTTCCCCTGATAGCTCTCCCAGTGTCCCTCAATCCTGACTGCAGACCCCTGCTCTCCCAAACCCTGGGTTCCCTCCTGCCACAGCTCTGCCAGTGCCCCTCACTCCTGACCCACAGCCCCCTGCTACCCAGTCCTGCCCCCCCACAGCTCTGTCAGTGCCCCTCAATCCGGACATGCAGCCCTCTCACTATTCCCTAATCAAATAGTTTTTCCTCTCAGTTCCAGGGGCTGGATGCTTAAGTGATCAGGGAACTCCCAGCTGGGCCATTGCTAAGTGGAGAGAGAGCAGTGACCCAGGTCCAGCTGCTGTTCCACTTGTCCTGGATCCAAGCCCACCCTACTCTATCCATCCCACTAGATCCCACTCCAAACCAAACTGGGACAGAATCCAGGTTCCTGACCCCATCCCCTTGCTATAATGCTACTTCCCCTGACACCACATCCAGCACCCCAGCCCTGGGAAGTCCTGATCCCTGCCCCTCACACCAGATCTAGCCCCCCACCCCGTCAGCACTCCAGAGACACACCCTGCCAGTGCTCCAGCTCTCCTTGATAGGGGTCCAAGCTGTGACATTTTGGGGAGGACTTGTGGCAGGGTAAGTTCATCCCCATAGCATCTCCTTATGGGGCACCAGGCCACATCCCACAGGTTTGGGGTTAACAGTGCCCAGGGTCTGCCCCTCCCCAGAGGCTGCTTGGAGCTGGGATGGGAACGGGAACCCCTGTGTCCAGGCACGGCCTGCCCCTAGCATCAGGGTGAGGGGCCAGAATGAGCTGCTGCAGGGGGATGAGTCTAGGGCTCATTAGCAACATACCCATCCAAACACAGACACTCCTAGTACACAACACAACCCTAGTGCCCCCTAAATCACCAAAGGACACATCCAAACAGGGGCTGGAGGGGCGGGGGGGGGAAACAATTGTACCAGGGCCTGAGCTCAGGAGGCCCACCCAAAAAAAAATCTGTAACTGGGATGTTACATAGGGGAGATTCGCCCTTGTTATGTTGTATGTAAGCCTATGTGAGTCTTACTGTTTTGCATGAATGCTGTGTGTGCCTCAGTTTCCCTGTCTATTATGTCTAGGTGGTGGGAATAAGCCTGTGTGACTTTTGCAGGGGTTGCTCCTGCATGGATGCTATGGCCACCCCTTCGTAACCTGAGACCCAGGAGGGGGATGCGAGACAAAGGCCGGAGGAGGAGCAACGGGCAGGACAGGGGCCAGGCAGCTGGAAGTGAGTCAGTCTCGGCTGGCTTGGGGCGCAGCGGGAGGACCAGAGCTCTGGCTCTGGGCTCCCCTCCCACCAAGATGGACTTGGCTGAAAGTCACTTATTTCTCTGCTAACAAGTTCTGTTCTACACTGTGATCCTGTCGACTAATAAACCTTCTGTTTTACCGGCTGGCTGAGAGTCACTGCTGACTGTGGAGTTGGGGTGCAGGACCCTCTGGCTCCCCCAAGAGCCCCGCCTGGGTGGACTAGCTGTGGGAAGAGCACGGAGGGGCAGGGGATGCTGAATGCTCTGAGGTCAGACCCAGGAAGGTCAAAGCTGTGTAAGCTTCTTGCCCTGGAGACATGCTCAGAGAAAACAACGAGGAGTCCTTGTGGCATCTTAGAGACTAACAAATTTATTTGGGCATAAGCTTTCATGGGCTAAAACCCACTTCATCAGATGCATGGAGTGAAAAATACAATAAGCAGTATAAATATTACAGCACATGAAAAGATGTGAGTTGCCTTACCAAGTGGGGGGTCAGTGCTAACGAGGCCAATTCAATTAAGATGGAAGTGGCCTATTCTCAACAGTTGACAAGAAGGGGGTGAATATCAAGGGAAGGAAAATTACTTTTGTAGTGCTAACGAGGCCAATGCAATCAAGGTGGATGTCGCCTATTTCCAACAGTTGACAAGAAGGTGTGAGTATCAGCAGGGAGAAAATTACTTTTTTTAGTGACCCATCCACTCCCAGTCTTTATTCAGGCTTAATTTGATGGCGTCCAGTTTGCAAATTAATTCCAGTTCTGCTGTTTCTTGTTGGAGTCTGTATTTGACTTTTTTTTGTTGAAGAATTGCCCCTTTTAAGTCTGTTATTGAGTGTCCAGGGAGACTGAAGTGTTCTCCTACTGGTTCTTGAATGTTATAATTCTTGATGTCTGATTTGTGTCCATTTATTCTTTTGCGTAGAGACTGTCCGGTTTGGCCAATGTCCATGGCAGAGGGGCATTGCTGGCCCATGATGGCATAGATCACATTGGTAGATGTGCAGGTGAACGAGCCCCTGATGGTGTAGCTCAGTGGTTCTCAAACGTTTGCGTAGAGACTGTCCGGTTTGGCCAATGTACAGAGGGGCATTGCTGGCACATGATGGCGTAGATCACATTGGTCGAGGTGCAGGTGAACGAGCCTCTGTGAAGCTCAGCGGTTCTCAGACTTTTGTACTGGTGACCCCTTTCACATAGCAAGCCTCTGCGTGTGACCCCCCCTTATCAATTAAAAACACTTTTAAGTATATTTAACACCATCATAAATGCTGGAGGCAAAGCGGGTTTGGGGTGGAGGCCAACAGCTTGTGACCCCCCATGTAATAACCTCACGACCCCCTGTGGGGTCCCAACCCCCAGTTTGAGAACCCCTGGTGTAGCTGATGTGGTTAGCTCCTATGATGGTGTCCCTTGAATAGATATGGAGACGGAGTTGGCAACGGGCTTTGTTGCAAGGATAGGTTTCTGGATTAGTGTTTTTGTTGTGTGGTGTGTAGTTGCTGGTGAGTATTTGCTTCAGATTGGGGGGGCTGTCTGTAGGCTAGTCCTCGCTTATCTCCCAAGGTCTGTGAGAGTGAGGGATCGTCCTTCAGGATAGGTTGTAGATTCTTGATGATGCGCTGTAGGTGACAGCTAGTGACGTTCTGTTACTTTCTTTGTTGGGCCTGTCCTGTAGTAGGTGACTTCTGGGTACCCTTCTGGCTCTGTCAATCTGTTTCTTCATTTCACCAGGTGGGTATTGTAGTTTTAAGAACACTTGGTAGGGATCCTGTTGGTGTTTATCTCTGTCTGAGGGATTGGAGCAAATGCGGTTGTATCTTAGAGCTTGGCTGTAGACAATGGATTGTGTGATGTGGTCTGGATGAAAGCTGGAGGCATGTAAGTAAGTATAACTGTCAGTAGGTTTCCGGTATAGGGTGGTGTTTATGTGACCATTGCTTATTTGCACTGTAGTGTCCAGGAAGTGGATCTCTTGTGTGGACTGGTCCAGGCTGAGGTTGATGGTGGGGTGGAAATTGTTGAAATCCTGGTGGAATTCCTCAAGGGCTTCTTTTCCATGGGTCCAGATGATGAAGATGTCATCACTGTAGCGCAAGTAGAGTAGGGGCGTTAGAATAACGCTTCCTCAGCTCTCGTCCCCTAAGTCAGCCATAAAAATGTTGGCATACTGTGGGGCCATGCGGGTACCTATAGCAGTCCCGTTGACTTGAAGGTATGCTCAGAGAGAGGAGGCTCCCCCACAGTCCTGACTGGCTTCATACCAAGTAGTTCCAGAGCATTGCCCCAGTGAGGGTGGGGCCCCAGTGAACATGATATGCCAGGGTCCCAAATTTCTCTTGATGGGTCTCTCTTAATCCACAACATTTCCCTAATGCCTAACACACAATGCACAGCCCTGAATACACACCGTGCCCCTAACATATGACACAATACCCACCCCAATGCACCTTCCTTAACACACATCCCACTACTCTGAATATGACCTAACACACACACCTAATATGCAACACACTCTAATCCCCTATCACACAACGCAATATGCTCCCAATGCACTCAAACACACCAACACAAAATATGCTCCTCTAATATCTCCTAACACACACACAGCCCAATGCACCATACTCCACCCCAACACACAATCCTGCCCTGTGTATGCACATCCCTAAAACGTGCCCACACGCCAAGCCAGTATTGGACACAGACAGCTCTGTGCAGCCAGCAAACTCCTCCACAATAATCTACCCCACCTCATGCGCTCACAAACGTGCACACTTACCCTGCACACACACAAGTGCACCCACTCAGAGACCAGCATGCGCACACACACACCCTCTCTCTCTGCAAGAGCCTGGAGCTGCCCTAGAAACACCCCCCTAGAGAGACAGTTCTTCTCCTGACCCACTAATAGGGGGCTGTTACACAACCACACACTGAGGGGTGGCGTCACACCCCCTCAGCTCATAGGGGTGGGGAAGCTCAGCTGCCCCCCAGGGAGAAGCCAAGATGCACACTCACCTTTGCCCTGCAAGAACATTTGCCCCCTTCACACTCACCCTGCATGCACACTCACCCCAAATACACACTTGCTCTTTCTCTTCATACACTCACTCATCCTGCATGCACATTTGCTCCACAGACTCCATTTGTGCACTCACTTTTAATGGAAACTTGCACACAATCATTCTCAACCCACACACACTCCCACTAGCCCTGAGTGTGTTTGTCCAAGGGGGACACACCCTCCACATTTGCACTCATTCTGCATGCACACTCACACTTGCTCCACACACAGGCCCATTCACCATGTGCACACTTACCCTCTTCCATGCTTGTCCCCTGCACTGAGATCCTGCAGTCACACTCCCCCATGTGCACTCCCACTCAGCCTGCATGCACACTTGCCCAAGGCACACTAATCCATGTACCCTCACACCCACTCTAATCACATTCACCCTGCACACACACTCAACCTCCTCCTGAATACACAGTTGCTCTGTGCGCACTCACTCACCCTGCATGCACAAGTCCCCTGCACACTGACCCTCAGCCTGCACTCACATGTACTTGCTGCCACACTTGCCCTACCCTGGTGTCTCCATTAAAGGCAGCTGCACTCTACTCAGAACAGCAGACATGGGGACGTGGGGATGGCTTGGCACAGTACCAGGGGCCAGGGTTTGGTGCGGGGTGGGCAGAGGGAACAATACTCACAGAGTACTTGGGAGCAGGGCTGGAGATGGTAGAAGGGCAAGAGGCACTGGGGGGAAGACCAGGGCCATAGATCTGGAGAGCGGGCAGGAACCATAGATCTGGATGGTGGGGGTCAGGTGTTCCGGGGGGGCATAGATCTAGACTGGGGACAGGTGCCACAGATCTCAATGGGGGCGGGGGGTTCTGGGGGGCAGTGGTCATAGAGCTGGATGGGGGCAGGGAACTCGGGGGGGTGGGGAAGAGGCCATAGAATTGGATGGGGACGGGGGGCTCGAGGGCAGGCAGAGGCCATAGCTCTGGATGGGGACTTTGGAGGGTAGGAGGTTTGGGGGTGCCGGGGCCATAGAGCTGGATGGCAGCTTTGTGGGTTTGGGGGCTCTGGGGGGGAGGGGTCTTGGGGGGGAGCCCATAGATCTGGATGGGGGCTTTTGGGGCAGGGGGGTCGGGGGGGGCAGGGGCCATAGAGCTGGATAGGGGCAGGGGGCTCAGGGGGCAGTGGTCATAGAGTTGGATGGGAGCAGGGGGCTCGGGTGGGGGGCAAGGGCCATAGAGCTGGATGGCGGCTCTGGGGGACAGGGTTTGGGGAGCAGGGGGCTAGTGGGGGCAGGAGTCTCGGGGGGGGAGGGGGCATGGGGGTGGATGGCGGGGTGGGGGGGGGGGGGGGCCAGGGGGGGGGGTGGCGGGTTGGGGGAGTGGGGGGGCAGGGGCTATAGAGCTGGTTGGCAGCTTTGGGGGGCCCGGTTCCCGGTAAGCGGCGGAACCTGGCTCCGAAGCCCACGTGCCCCCACCCCCGGGTTAAGATGTGTGTGTTCAGGGGTGGGGGGAGCGAAGTTTAAAGGGGACGCGACAGCTCCCTTTTCTGTCGGCCGCACGCGGCGCCCACCCCCACTGCAGCTGCCGCGCGGCCGCCTTTAAGAGTGGGCAGCGCGCGGGGCCCGTGTGCGAGGCTGGAGCGGCCGCAGCTTCAGCACCAGCATCCGCGACAGCAGCATCCTTCGGCGGCGGCGGCGAGCGGGGGAGGGGGAGCTCGGCTGCGGGGGCCCGGCGGGGCCCAGCCAGGCAGCGTGGGTGGGAGGCGGCCCCCCCGCAGGCCTGGCCGCTCCTACTGCATCCAGCGCCGCCCCGGCTGCTGCTGCCGTCCCCCAACCCCCTTGTACCCCACTCTCCTGACCCCCTGTTCCCCCGACCCCCCTGCACCCCGCTCTCCCCAGTCACCCCAACCCCCTGTTCCCCCTACCCCCTTGCACCCCACTCTTCCTAGTCCTCTGGCACCCCCGATCCCCTTTCACCCTGCTATCCCTAGTCCCCTGGCACCCCGACCCCCTGTTCCCCCTGACACCCCCTCCCCTGGCACCCCCTGCACCCCTGTCTCCCGGATCCCCCAGCACCCCTGCTCTCCTGGTTCCTCTTAAGTCCTCTTCCCTGGATCACCCTGAGGTCCTTGCCCCCCCACCCCTTTTTCCCCCTTCTCCTCCCCACTCTGGGGATTCCCCCCACACCACTTTCTCCTGGGTCGGCTTCTCTCCCCCCACCCTCGACTCGTCCATGACAAGCGCCCGGGACTAGCGAGCGGCTGAAGGAACCATGTCCTATGTCCCCTTTCGAGGTAAAGGATGGGGTGGGTTCAGCTGGGGTTGAGCGGGGGCACAGCTGGGGCCTATGGGTTCTGGAGTCTGAGGGGGTCTGGGGGAACAGGCAGGCTCATCTAGGGCAGGTGGGAGGGCACTGAAGGGTTCTTCCAGGGTCTGGGCTTGGGAGTGGGGCAGGGGAGGGCTGTGGGGTCAGAGAGGAAAAAGGGGTTCACCTGGAGCAGGGCAGGTGGGGGGAGGTAACTGGGGCAGACAGGGTTAACGAGGGAGTGGGGCACCATATCTGGGACAGAGGGCACTGGAACTTGGGCAGGAATGGGAGGGGTCACCTGGGGTGGGCTGGAGAGTCAGGGTTCTGCTGGAGATGTGGGGTGTCCATCTGGCTGGGAGGAGGCTCTGGTTCACCTGGGGCAGGTGGGGGGCACTGGGAGGTGACTGGGGCCTGTGGGGGCAGAAGGGGATGATTGTGTGTGTGGAGTCCTGGGGGGTACTGGGGTCTGTGGGGTTTGAGCAATGGGGGAGAATGGGGTTTGCCTGGGGGAGGTAACAAAGGCATAAAAGGGACTCATTTGAGGCCTCTGGCTCTAGGGAGCGCTGGGTGGGGAGCTTCACGCAGGGCCTGCAGGCTCAGGACTGGGGATTGCTCTTTGGTGGGGGGGGGTCACCTAGGACCTGTGGGCTCAGGACTGGGTGGGGGGAACATCTGGATGCAGCGTGAGGGATGAAGGGGTCACATGGGGCCTGGGGAAACAGTGAGGGATGCCAGCTCATCTTGGGGTGGCAGGGGGTATGCTTGAGGGGCCATCCAAGAGAGTGAAGGGTTGCCCCATGGTTGGTGGGGAGGCAGGACAGAGCACTGGTGGTTGCCCTAGGGCCTGTGGGGCAGTGGGGAGTCGGAGGCGAGATGGGAGGCACTGGATGGTATCCTGGGACCTGTGAGGTCTGGGGTTCAGTTGTCTAGGGCAGGAGGTGGCAGCATTGGGGTGTGCTCTGGGCTCAGTGAAGTCAGGAGGGTGACAGGGTATGGCGGTGTTGGTGGCAGGAGGTGGGGGAGACTGGATGGTACCCTGGGACCTGTGGGGTCTGGGATTCATGGAGTCTGTGGGGAAGGGCAAAAGGAAGTTGGCTCTGGGGTTGGGGGAGGGTGGGCAGTGGGGGGGAACATGAGGGTGTTCTCTGGGGAGACAATGGTGAAGGGTTCACAGTGCAGTCATTGGGGGCTTGGAGAGTTCATCTGGCCTGGGGGGTATGAGGGTCAGACTTGGTTGGGGAGGGGGATGTGTGGGGGGGGCGGTTTCCCAGGGGTTGGTGTGGCTGCAGGGTGGTTGGGTGGGTGGGCTTACCCCAGGGGTCAGTGGGGTTGGGGAGGGGAATGTATGGGGAGGCTGCTCAGGGCCTGTGGGGTCTGAAGAAGCCGTGAGAGGGAATGTCTGGGATTGGAAGTGGAGTGGGGGGTAGCCCAGGGCAGGTATTAAGAGGGCGGGGGGACTCTGAGGGAAGAGTGGGGGGGGGTTACCTGGTGGACCTTGGGGTTGATACACCTGGGAGCAGCTGGGGGTGGGGGGAGACAGAGGAGGTGCTGGGGTTATCTGGAGAGCTTGCTTGTTGTCCGCTGTGTCAGGGGGTAGTAGAGGGTAGCAGGGGGGTCACTGCCCGAGGCCTGTGGGTGGGGGGGACCATTGTCCAGGGCTGTGAGGGGAACAAGGGGGTCTGGGGGCAGTAGAGGATAGTGGGTGCACTGTCTAGATCTGTGGGGGCAATAGGGTAGCTAGGGGGTTCGGGGGGCAGTGGAGGGTAGTGGGTGCGCTGCCCCGGCCTGTGGGGGCAGTAGGAGTAGCAAGGGGATCGGGGGGCAGTAGAGGGCCTGGGCAAGGAGCCCACTACCTGTGGGGCAGTAAGGGCAGCAAGGGGGGCAGGGGGCTGTAGAGGGTAGTGGGTACACTGCCCAGGTCTGTGGGAGCTATAGGGGTAGCTAAGGGTTCTGGGGTAGTGGGGCTCCTTGCCCAGGCCTGTGGGTGCAGTACGGGTAGCTAGGGGTTTGGGGAGCAGTAGAGGGTAGTGGGTGCACTTCCCAGGCCTGTGGGGGGCAGGAGGGGGAGGGGACCTGTGATGGCTGTGGGAACAGCACATGGTGCCTGTAGCCAGGGTTGGGAAGTGCTGCCTGTGTTGGCTGGTGGGCTCTTAGGGCTGGATCCAGATTGGTTGCTGGGACCCTAGCATCCAGGGAGGGCCCTGGGGTTTGCTCTCTGCAGCTCATCTCCTCCCCCACACTTGTTCCCAGCCCACGGCCTGCTGGAGTGTGCCCCTGCTCGCGGTCAGGGCCCACTCTGAGGTATGGGGCATTGGCCCCATTTAGGGGGCTCTGGCCCTTGATGTGAGGCTGGTGCAAATCCCCAGGAGACCCATGTGACCCACTTTCCCAGCTGGCCCAGAAAGCACCAGGGGGGTGGGGTTTGCATGCCACTCGTGCTGTCACATGTATGGTCCGGATGTTCCACCAGAACCCCTCTGCACCCTGACACCTGGCTCCTAAAAATCCTGCTGTCCGGACACCTGGGTCCGAACACCCTCCTCCTGTCCCCATGTCCTTGGGCTCTGGGCCCGAGGGAGTGTCGCATCCTCTGTCTGATCCCCATGGCCCAACACTTCTCTCTATTGTGCCCAAGGTACACGTAACCCTCACCAAAGTGGTGCCCCAGTGTCTGGCCCCCAAGTGCCGGGGGGGGGGGAGGTGAGACCCCAGTCAGGGCTAGGATTAGCCCCCCATGGCTAGCATGACTAGTGCTGCAGGAATGGAGTAGGGGACAATCTCCCCTCTGTCAGTGCTGGCCCCAGTGCAGTGCCAGGGGGTGCTGTGCTGCAGGGTCAGGTCAGGGGGCACTGGGCTGAGGAAGAGGTGGGGAGAACATGGGGTGTGTGTCTGTGTGCGCTGTGCTGAGGAATGGGGACACCCTGGTCGGAGTTGGAGACTCCCATCCCAACTGCCTCATAATTTATTATAGCTCCAAAATAGAAATATTAATGTGGGAATAAACATAGCACCCTGCTCAGTGATTAACAGGGCCTTTAAACACAAAACGAGCACCCCCCTCACTGGTGCCAGCCCCACCGTACCTGCTCCCCACAGTGCCCCCTGCTGGGAGAGGCTGGGTCTGGAGCAGCTGGGAGCTCCCCCTCCCCAGCCAGTGCCCTGCCCTACTCCCCACTCTGCCCCCTACTGGGGGAGGCTGGGGCTGGAATAGCCAGGAGCTCCCCCCTGCCCCAGCCAGTGCACTGCCCCACTCTCCTCAGCACCCCCTGCTGGAAGAGGCTGGGGCTGGAGTAGCCGAGAGCTCCCCCCAGCCAGCACCCTGCCCTACTCCCCACCATGCCCCCTGCTGGGAAGGCCAGGGCTGGAATAGCTGGGGGCTCACCCCTGCTTTGGGGGATGCTGGGATGAAATATCCCCACAGTCTCTTCCCTGCACTCAATGTGTGGAGGTGGTGGGATGCGGTTGCTAGGTAACCCCCATTGGAGGATGCTCCCTCCTCCCCCCTCATCCTGGGCGGGGGGACTGGCATGAATTGAATCCCCAGAGCGTGGCAGTGTCGTGAGCTGCAGGTGGTGCTGGGGGGGCACTCTGGGCCCCTCCCCGTTTAGGGATAGGGCATCCTCTCCCCAGTTAAGTCTGGGGATGGGCAGGGGAAGGGCCTGTATCTGTATCTTTGAGGGGGAGGGGTGTCTCTTCTATCTCTCTCTCTGCCAGGCTCCCCCCTCCCACATGCTCCCTGGGCTGTCACTTCCCAGCACGGATCTCCAGGCACACTCAGATCTGATGGGACAGTCAGCCCACACTGCGATGCCAGGGCTGGGAGGGGGAGAGGGCTGTGCTGGGATTCTGAGGGGATGGAGCAGGAGATGTGGGCCTGGGGGGCCCAGTGCTGAGTGAGCCTCTCTCCCCCCCCCCCCCCCAGTGTGGAGGAGTGCCCAGGAGCTAACAAGGACACCAGCTTTTAGGAGTGGCTAGGTCCTTGGGCTACTTGGCTATTCTATGCAAATTATGTGGTGAGCTCATTTGCATTTTTGCAGGCAGGTCAGTTGAAGCAAGGAAGCATTATTTATTTGCATATTTGCATATAATTTGCATATCACTAATATCCAGCTTTGTGTGGAATCATATGGATTCAGCACTCTCTGTATCTCTCTGCAGCCCGACAGCCCCACACAGCGCGACCATCTTCCAGCTGGTTGGGGGCTGGGGTCATGGGGCAGTTCTAGCTGTGCCCCAGGCAGTCCTGGGCGCTCCACTGAGCCTGCCATGGCAGCCAGAGCTGAGCCCCACCAAGCACTAAGGAGTGGGGCCCTGCTGCCCAGGGGTGGCTTCAAGCTGGTGACTAAGAGGAGAATGGCTTGGTCTGGCCCTGCCCCATGGCTGGGCATCTAATCCCCTCCCCCCTAGGGCCTGGGAAGAGCAGGCTCTCAGGAAATTGAGGCCTGGCCTCTGACCTAGGGCTGGATTCCTCTGCCCTCTGGACACCCCCTGGCCCCACTCCCAGCCCTTAGCCTGCTGCCACTGAGTGTCCCACAGTTAGGGTGACCAGATGTCCCGATTTTATAGGGACAGACCCGATTTTTGGGTCTTTTTCTTATATAGGCTCCTATTACCCCCCACCCCCGTCCCGATTTTTCACATTTGCTATCTGGTCACCCTACCCACAGTGCACCTTAATCAAAACATGAGCAATCCCAGACACATGAAGGCAGGAATTGGAGTATGAGCACACCTGGGCGCTCCTGTACTACGGGGTCAGTGCAGGGATAGTAGTTATTGCAACCTCCTCATGCTGACTTGGGCAGGATCTTGATTGTCTCCCACCCACCATCCCTCCTCATGCACCCATTTGTTCCCAACCCTCCCTGGACCCAGCCCTCTGTCCCTGCACAAGCTTCTTTCCCTCCATCCTTCCCCATGCATACTTCTCTGCCTCCACACCTCTAGCCATCTGTCCATCCCCACACTTACCCTTCCATCCATCCCCACATGCTCTTTCCTCCAGCCCCCTATCTGCCTTGGTAAAAGGAGTGTTCAGGTTGCAAAGTCCAGTACTGGGAGTGGGGGGACTTCCAGGATTCAGGTATCCCATGCAGCCTTCTCTTGGTCCCCCTGTACAAATGTGTTATGAGTTTGACATGGTCTGGAATGATGTCTTTGCACGCTATTCCCCCTTCCCATCCCACCCTGCATGAGCCACCAACAGGATCTTACCCCAGAATCTTCTAGCTCTGCAGCACAGACCTCTCCCAAGTTGCTAAAGGATTAATTGGAAGCAGTAGTAGGTTATTAGCCTCTATGTGACCAGCTGCAGAGAAGGATGTGGCAGCTGCTTTGCCCGAAGTTTGCACAGCGATTAACAAGATAGCAGCAGAAAGTTGGGAGCCAGGACTCATGGGTCCTCTCCCCAGCTGCATGTGTGTGGGGGTGGGGGGACATGGGTTCTGGTGGTTAGAGCAGCGGGGGTTGGGAGCCAGGTCTCCTGGGTTCTAGCCAGGGATAGAGTGGTGTGTGGGGAGGAGTCAGGACTCGTGGTGTCCCTTCCCATAGGCTATGTGCTGTTCTCAGGGGGAGCCCCCCTGCCCCGTGCGATGCTGGGGCAGGCACAAGGCTGAGTTCCTTAGCAAGTGTGGGGACTCCTGTGTGTGTATTTGGAGGGAAGGGGCTGCAGAAAGGTGAGCTCAGTAGCCTGCTATGTCCAACTATGTCCACTGGGTGGCAGCACGGTACTGCAAAAGTCCTTTGCTCCTCGCCCTGCAAACACCACCCCACCTGTGAGTGATTTTGGGCAGGCCATGACTCCAGACCCCGACCCCTCCCCCCCCCCCCCCACACACACAGTCTGTGCTGGGGAGGGGGCAGCCCCCTGTGGAGGGGCAGGAGGGTTATATGCTGCTTGTGGTGCTAGAGTCCCCTGGCTCCGTTTGCTTCCCCTGGGGCTTGGGATGGTTCCTCTGCTTCCCACTGGTGTGAGCCACCACCCCCCAGCTTTGGGTTATGGGGCTTCCCATGCAGCTGCTGCTTGCTACCATAACACACACAGTGCCCCAGCCAGGACCAGCACCCTCGTGTGCCTGGTGCCGTATGGACACGTCATCCAGACAGTCCATGGCCTGACCTGTGCTTCCAGCTTTGCTGGCCTGGCTCTGTGCATTGGGGAGGAGGATTTTTGGCTGACATTGGTATGCTGGCAAAAGCCCTGGTGTAGACTTTGTTCTCCCAGGGTAAAGTACTTTACCCCAGTGCAGTGCATTTCGCTTGCTGAGCCAGAGGCGGCAGCACTGGTGGAGGTAAAGCGGGAAACCGTCTAAGTGTAGACCTGGTCTAAGCCAAGACGTAGCTTGCAGTCATGGGGTTATGGGAGAGAAATGGCTTGTGCTGAATACAAATAAAACCAGATTCTGAGCCATCAGCTCAGAGCCATCACCCCACAGGCTCAGAAATGGGGTGTAACTACATCAACCCCCCAAATGTATAAAGCTAGGTATATTAAGTCAATGGGATGACTTGGGGGGCCCTGGCATGTGGGTTCTGAACCCCTGGCATTGGCAATATTAAGACCCAGTCTCCACATGAGCTCCTAGAATGAGCCTGTGGCATGATCCTTACCTGTCTAAACAAGGAAGTGGGGAGGTGACCTTACCTCTGCGGACAGCACTGAAGAGATGGATGATGAACACTGCAGCCAGTTCTAGTGCCCGCATGCTTTAAAAAGTTGTGGAAGAATGGGAGAGGCCGCAGAACCGATCTGTAAGGCTGGAGACCATGTCTGATGCTGACGGTGAGCAAGCGGCTAACCAGGCATTATCTCTTCAGCTGATCAAAGGAAGGCGACTGAGAGGTGACTTGATTGCGGGGTGTAAGGGCCGTCACGTGGCGAAAATACCTGGACTCTTTAACCTAGCAGAGAAAGGGAGAAGAACCACCACTGGCTGGAAGCTGAAGCCAGATAAATTCCAGTTGGAATTAAGGCTCAGTTTGTTTAACAGGAGGGGATTAACACAAGGGAGGGGATGGGCTCTCTGTCTCCTGAGGGTGTCCAATCCTCTCTGGGAGATGCTGTAGCCAGACTCAGGTTCTTGGGGTCAGTACAGGTGTGCCGGAGTGTCGTTCTCTGGCTGTGCTTGACAGGAGGTCAAACTACATGACTGGCTGGTCCTTTCTGGACTCTCTGCCTTTGAATCAGTCTGTGGCTAGTGATCCAGCCCTTGGC